CGAGGCAGTGTGTTCTTTGACCTTCCTCTTTTCCGCTTCCCTTTACGATTCCAAATAAGCGATCGCATAATGATGCAGTTTGATGATTTCCTCAATGTATATCCTATCCACTTCCAACATCTTTTTCTAATTTCCTGTTCATCTGGAAGCTGGTTTGTGCTGTCTTATAGTAGGCTGTTGCTGATGATATCGGGTTAACGGATATTGAGTATCTTTCGTAGACAACTGTTTACGAATACTTGTATCTTTTTCTATGGTAATAGTTAGTAGACTTATCATTGGAAATTTTAAGATGTTTAATTGTCATAATGATTACATAATAACTTTTCTATATGATTTCAGTCAAATTCCATCAACAAATATGCAAATTCCTAAATCACCAGTTATAACTAACATGATGACCAATGTATCAGAAAAATTACCACAGAATTCTATGATGTAAGTTATAATTTAATGAGAAGGGATTTTGTGGAGATTTCAGTACTTTTAAAAGTTGAAATCATGATTCAACTGAAGTTAGACAACCATGGAAAACCTGGAAGAAATGCAAGGCCGTTTCGTCCTATTAAGGAGCTCCTCAGTAGTGCGCATCCACGATCCCACACTCGTGAGATTCGAACCCAGGACCTATCAGTCTCGCGCTCCAATACTTAACCTCTAGACCACTGAGCCGGCATCCAACGGTTTTAATGTCTAACTTCAACTGATCCACAAATTTTGAGCAACCATTCATCAATTGTCTTCAGTGATTTCTTATCTCACAACAGACGTGGTTGAACTCCTCTGGTCACTGGTTCCCATGAGTGCGGGACGAAGCGGCCGTCCAGTGCTTCTAGGTTTTCCATGGTGGTCTAGCTTCAATTGACTTATGATTTCAACTTTTAAATATAACTTAATGGTTATTTATGATTTTACACTCAGATAGCATCGGTTTTTTAGTATTATTTTTACTCATTCTGTTGAATGTTGATTGGTTAAAAGGATTTCTCAGCGTTTTCAAAGTATTTTTTTTAACTTTTTTCGAAAAATTTCTTGGATCTCCCTGACAGTTTTCTAGAATTCAAATAATCTGTTTCAAGGAGATTTGGCACAATCGTTATATTAATATCAAAATTAGATTAATTTCCAAATCATGAATGCACAAGAATCCATAACGAGGTTTTAATGGAAGAAAAGAATTACTTTCCTTGAGAAAAGTAGCTTACAGATCATGTGATAATATCTAGAGAAAAACTCTTGAGCAGTGATTCAGTCCGTCAATTAGTTGCAACGAAGGACCAGACACATATATGTATCGGTTCATGTTGCCACACTTCATTAGCACAACAGAATGAATAGGATGAAGTAGTTACTTCAATAGTAGTAATATATAAAATAAAGATTGTGTAGTACAGCAAGAAAGAACTTGTTCGTAGAAGGAAAGGTATAAAGTAATTTTAATCTCACAGTTTAGGGGAAGACAATCAGTGTATATACCTACACTATTGTGATCGATTCTGAATCATGTCAACCACAGTCCCCAACCATTGATTACGATAATCACATGGACCTCAATCAATTAGTCTGTATCTACCAATATGGCTCAGACTAGAAGTTAATGACTTCGAGAAGTGAGGGCACGGTTTGGTTTGTCCACCCTTAACTTTCTTCCAACCATCCTCAACACTAGTCAGAATAGCGCGTCGTGATAGACGGTGTTCAAATACAAGTAACACATGAATCAACCACCTCAGTTGATGATTATTCACAACCTCACCAACCGATTGACCATCATTCCCAAATACGCTGTGTCTAACCTCACTATTACTTACCCGGTGATCTCAACACATGCGATAAATATTTTCAAGACATCTGTTAATAAATACTAGCAAATTACGAGTATATTTCACTATTAATGGTCACGTTAAGCAGCTATAAAGTAGAACAGAACGAACTGCTCCACAGTATACTAGTTCTTTGGTGACTACTCAGGAAACTAGTTTTTATGAGATAATAAATATATATTTTCTCTTATATCCCAATAAGTAGAAGAGTTTTATATCTAACGTTTCGTCACTTAACGTATGCCACTTCTTCAGAGTAAAAAATTGGTTTTCATGAAGTTACGAACTTATTTGAAACAATCAAGTCCATCCATGGTAATGATACCTATGATGATGTATATAGAAGTAAATACAATAGATGTTTCCTAGGAATTCACATTACGTGATTCAATTTGGCTTTGATCTGATGGACTGACTGATCTCATTTGTTTGAACAAGGATGACCATTTAAAATGGAAATGAATCGCTTTAATTTCGATATACTAATTGGATTATTATCAGAATGGGGTTTTGTGGATATTATAGTATTTTTTAATACTTTAATTCATGAGTCGATGAAAGCTATATCACCATAGAAAACCTGGAAGCATTGGACGACCGTTTCTTCTAAGTATGAGACTCTTCAGCAGTGTGCATCCAGGGTCCGACACATGGAACTCGAACACAGTACATCCGATCTCTTGAGCTTCATTTGGTATTCCTGGAGTTCTAGTCAGAAGCCACGGACAGTGAAGTTCAACTATGTTTATTGTAGAGGCAATTACTCACTGAAGAAAATGGTGGACTATTGATCAATTTCGTGGATTGATTCAAGTTAGACATAAATATCGTTGGATGCTGGCCGCCTCAGTGGTCTAGAGGTCAATCGTTCGTTTGCGTTCGAATCTCTCGAGACGGCATCATGTATGCACACTATCACTGAGGAGTCTCACACTAGGACGAAACACCATAAAGTATGTTATAACTATCAGACTTTTACATCTTAATATCAAATAATCAACTACTAATAACCTTTCCTTTCTATTCATTTTCCTTTATTTTAGTCCTTCAATAATTCCAAAGAATGCATCAACCAATTCGAATATTTTCAATTTTGAAAATTTAGATTAAATTTTATAATGATGATGTAATCAAATATTCATTCATTAAAATGAAATTACAATTACCCCGAACCCCCCCCCTCATCTTGCTTGATTATAAACAGTAAACACAAATACAGATACAATTACAAGTTTATTTTTATATATACATATACATATATATATATTACATTTTATTAAAAGTATGAGTATGTATGTGTATAACCATGAGTGTGCTTGTGTGTGTGGATGTGTCCATGACTACCAATTTATTGTTACAAATTTGTTTATGGTTTTTTCTATGATGATAAAACTAATAATAATTTACTACTATATCCTTGTCATTTGAATATAGTGATAGCAACAAGTGATGGGATAATTTGGATAAGTTTCAAGTTTCATCTAATTTGAATGATAATTTCAATATCAGAAGGGGGATTTTGTGAAGATTTTAGTAATGTTATATAGTTGAAAACATGAGTCAATTGAAGCTAGACCACCATGGAGAGCTTGAAAGCACTGGACAGCCGTTTAGTTCTATTGTGAGACCCCTCAGCAGTGTGCATCCGCGATCCCGTGTCGCGAGATTTAAACCCAGGACCTATCAGTCTCGCGCGCGAGCGCTTAACCTGTAGACTACTGAGCCGAACATCCAATGGTGTTAATGTCTAACTTCAACCAATCCACGAAATTGAGCAACCGTCCACCATTGTCTGCTGAGGAGTCCGACAATAGGGCGAAATGGCCATCCAGTGTTTCCAGGTTTTCTATGGTGGACTAACTTCAATTGACTCATGATTTCAACTAAAAGATAATGTCAATATACAAAGAGTGCGTGTGTGTGAAACGAAGGTGTATTGTATTATTTCAAGAGTAAACCTTATTCGTTAACTACAAATTACTGAAAGCTTTGAAAGACAAGTTTACAATTCACTTGGTATTGTTTACTCGTATATTCCCACTGTTATTTAGAACTGCTGTTGATCAGTCTGTTACTGGTATATGTGCATCCTGTGCGGACTGCCTCGATATTGCCATAAGTCGTAGGCTTTATAAGCAAAGATGGATAGTGATTAGCAGTGGAATCCAGTTTGACGCGCGTTTCGTCCTATTTGGTACTCATCATCTGGATGTACCTGCATCTCAGAGTTCCAGAGTGAACATCAACACTATGTGAACCTTAACACATGTTTATTACGCAATTCAATACCTGCGGTATGAATTTCGATATAATCTTGATGCGATTGAACACCATCAAGACAGATAATATTTTGATTTATTACTTTCCGGAATATCGGAAGTAAAACGCTTAATCCAAACGGTAAGAATCCGTATGTGCAGCCTCAATAGTGTAGTAATAGTAGTTAGTCTAGTCTAAGTTTTATTCATGAAAATCTGTGAATAAAGAACGTTAACTCAAGCATAGATTTGCCAAAATCACTGACTAGGAAATAAACATTAACGTCATCACCCTCTTCTTTTCTCAGTTAGATATTACCTGTACCATTCATCGGCAACTGATGGTCAATGATAAAGACGATCGTACTACATGTGAGTTTAAGATATACGGCATTAAATTTTCTTTTGCGAATAACAGACTTTATGTTACCAATATCAAGAAAAAACGAATGGAACTTGTCTGTACTAGTAGCGTGAGGTACTGTTACAAGCAGTAGTAGGTGACAACGAATCCACTCTCCTGTTCAAATAGGGTAATAATCATTCAGTGTCTCTATACCAAACAACTTTAAACTTTTGTAAACTTCTCGTACATGTCCAACTTTCTCACGTTTATGGTAATGTGTATTAACGAAAATGAAGTGAACTACAAAGATGCAATGAGAAGTGTGTATTCCATAAAACTAACAAATATATCGAACAGTAACTAAGGCAATACTCATCTAATTCTCAATACTAATCAAGTAACATATACTCACAGCCATCTACCAGGTGATTACAAATAAACAAGTACCTTAGGTAAAATATCTTCGACCATCAGGCCCCAACTACCTAACTTTTGCATAAAATGGGTAGGTTAGTCAGTCACAACGTAGAACTTCGTACGTACGTACATCAGTTTGAGTTGCCATACCACATTAGCACAGAGATGAAGTTGTCTATTCAAATCCCATAGTGGTAGAAGTAGTAAGAGTACAAGCATTATGTGAAAGATTAGGATTTGAAGATGTTATTCAAAGAGTATAATCTAGTGAAATAAATTTGAAAAGAGAAAAAAAAGATAAGTACATGAAGAATTCAGAAGATTATAATTTGGCAGAACACAAAGAGTGGATGCATCTTCTCCATTGCAAACGATTTTGAACTGAGTAATGAGTCACACAACTAAGAAGTTACATTCTAAATTGATCAAGATATGTCAATTAACAACAAGAACTAAATGATCATCAATCTGTTTCACTTCTCAATGATTGATTAACTCAGTTTTACAAATTAAATGCATTTAAAAAAAGAAAAGAAAAATACAAACGACAAAATATTAGTCATTTGAACATTGGACTCATCAAAAGAAAATTGTAGTTAGTAACAACAACAAAAAAATAAGGAAAAAGCAGATGCTTAAATGCATAAATAAAAAGAAAAACAAATAAATAATTATTGCACAGCAACGGCAACGAAAACAACGACGACAACAACAACAACAACAACGGCGGCGATGATAGCGGTTTAAAATACATAGAAATCAATAATAATAATGAATGAATGAAAGACACAAACCGATCCTTCATTAAAATTGTACTCATCAGTGATAGTCAGTGCTTAAGTCAGTTACTAATATGATTAATAATAGATGAAATGATAGGAAATAATTTATGCACAATAGATCAATATACTTTAGACAATATAGATTTGTGAATATTGAATGAACAGAAAAAGTATTTATACCATTACGTTGAACTACTCTTTAATTTTTAAGTAGTATAAATTTGAAAGATAAAGAAAGTATTTTAATTAAGGTAAATTAAGAACAATAATAATGATCATGATGAATATTTAAATAATTTAATGGGATAAATTGGTTAATCTCCAAACAATAGCATGTGCACCTGAACCCATTTGACGTGAACGGTTAATATGAATCCTTATGCTGGAATCTGTAGAAATATAGACAGTAAATGAACAATGATATGTGGTCAATAAGACAAATTGGTTACAAACAAAAATAAAAAACAACAAACTATGATCACCATGGAAAACCTGGAAGCACTGGATGGCCGTTTCGTCCTATTGTGGGACTCCTCAGCAGTGTGCATCCACGATCTCGACTCGCGGGATTTGAACCCAGGACCTATCAGTCTGCGAGGCGGGGCCACTGCTGAAGAGTACCATAATAGAACAAAACGGCCATCCAATGCTTCTAGGGTTTCCATAGTGGTCTACCTTCAATTGACTCATGATTTCAACTATAAAATTACTGAAATCTCCACAAAAGCCTCTTTTGATGACAAACTATGGGTCTGATCATATGTAGTAATGAAACAATTAACAGTTAGACATTATCTTTTACTGACTCATGTTAAATGATACACTATAACGCAATAAGAAATGTTTCTCAATAAACCACTTGTATACCTACCTAACTGTACAAGAACAAGAAAACATGTATATAGACATGACACTTATCAATCAAAGTAATGTGTTCTCTCCAAAGATGGGCAACATTCAAGAGATAGTGTAAAATGTATGTAGAGGTGTTACGTAGTGCTTAGTGTGGTTATTTAGTAGCTTCATTTCTTATGATTTTGTCGAAGTCATCACCACTGCATCTAAGTTTATACAGTATCTTATTTAGTATATTTGGGTTTTTTTTGATTGATTCTTGAGGTTTACACCATTTCCTTCAGTAAACCGTCAGGGATAGTTAGTATCTATGAAATCAGCCTTAATGTACCAAAGTTGCTGTTTTATTTTGTTTCCGGTGAATATTTATGTGATTCGTCGAATGAGCAGCTTTGTAGTGTAGCAATACGCTTTTGATTGGCATACACCACCCGAAACTCTGATAATAATTATTATGAGTAGAAGTTTCAATGAGTTAAATTTGTCTAAAGTGTCATTACAATTGGTGTGTGGATAACAATGTAATGGAAGCCGGCTGATTCGTCCTCTTTGGGATTCATCATTGAGATGTATTGAATTTCAAGGTTGATATTCACATTGAAACCCATACTTAGTGCATTCCGTTTGAAACACACTCACTAACACATTCACACTTGTTGAGCATATAAGTGGCTATCTGAACTTAATAGCTCTGTAGACAATGCTTTGGGACTTTGAAGCGAAGGGCGATGGTTTCAAATCACAAAGTGAACATTAAAGTTGGGGTGCAAGGAGATCCAACTGAAAAGTTCCAAATAGCATAAAAACTTGTGAATGATTCATATAGCTCAATAAAGATTGTTCAATGAGTTTATTGTATCATGAACCACTGGACACATTTTCGCTCATTTAGTGAATGAATGTTGCACATTTAAGTGTAATTTCGGTGACGGATTTCATTTCATGTTCTATTTCATCGCACATATTGGTTTAAGGTACACTGACTTATTCATAATAGACAACTACGAGTACGTTCAAACACTTGAAATTAAACTTTTAGTGAAAAGTTCACAGAAATGCATTCACATGCATTCACATTATGAACAAAAAAAATCGGCAGAAAATCTTGGATACAGAAAAGTAAAGCTATTAAAAATTGAAAATGGTATAAAAGAATTTTAGTTAGGAAATTAAAAATACATTATACAACACAACAAAACTGAAAAGAAAAAAAATCCATCAATAAATTACTTCGATCAGCTGAAAGTTGAGTTTGATGTTCATCATTTTGTTCGAATTGTTCTTGAATTTGTCTTAAATCTACATAATCATGTCCAACTGATACAATTAAATAATTAAGGTCTTCATTATTATTCACTTTTTGACAAATTTGAAGATGATTTTGGAAAGTAAAATAAAAACAAGAAAATATTGAAACAGTTAAGAAAATTATTTTTATTTATTTAAACACATAAATATTAGTATAAAAGGCATTAAATACATATGCACCAAACAAATCTCATTCGATTTGTGTGAAGGCTGTGATATTGTCCAGGTGCCCAAACTGAAACAGGTGATTTTCTTAAGGGATCACACCCAGAGCCTTTGACCTAAAGGTCTGGTCCACAAGGCAGTAGAACATCGTAAGGAGATGCAGTCTCATAGTAGCCGGTGACCAACGATTGATCCATACGCCATTTGTTTCCTCAGACTACTGGAGCCAGCCCATGTGCACCAATGGTTTGAAATCAGGGTTTTCCCACTCCCCTAGGTGAACTCACTGTATCCACCAACCCGATTAAAGCGTCCTACATTCGATTTTCGTCCTCTCAATTTTGTAAACAACATTAGTGCCACGAGAAGGCAGTGAGTAGGACTTCCGTGGCAGATGCTATATACGCGTGGCTATGTGAAAGTATTTGGAGAGGGGGAGCGGACCCTCGTCACTCTCGGCCGTACCAGGGCAATTAAGAAGATACTTTCTATTGTTTAACTTAATCTTTCAACCAAAAAGTTTTAAACCTCCCTACATTGAATCAAGTAGCCCAATAGAGCTACTCAATATTACATACACAAACAATGAAACTCATAGTTAGATAACTAAACTTGTAACTAGTGAATTAGTTATATTACAACGAGCCAACATTTTGCTCTTTAACAAAAGTATATCTATCTAGTAGTTCAACAAGAATAGTAGTATCATAAAGCATTACTAGATTTCATAAACAACGGAATCTCAAGTTTCATTCGAGGTCTATGGATGGTTCTTAAGTCCGGGTTACTCACATCATAAAACAGTACTTAATCTTTAAGTAACTGAGAAGGGAAGTGGACTAAGAATGTTCTCCCAACATGAGAAGGGCTAGTTACACATGTCCACTTGGTCAGTATATTTGGATATGTGTGCTTTATACTTTAAAGTTATTGCTGACACACACGGAAATAAATAGGGTGAAGTGAGGTGTGTTAAGTCAAGCGACAGGTTTTTCTAACCATCTCTACTAATGGAGACAAATTAGTGATGTCACACTGTTGTACAACTGAGAGCTTAGATTCTACATTTACTTCTTTTAGTCCTTCTCTCTTCTAACAGATCTACCTATCATAGAAGAACCTAAAACAACCAGTGTTCTGGTCAATATAACTCGATTAGTTCATCAAGACAAGTTTAATCCGACATAAAACGTCTAGGCAGTAATTATAGTCAGATTTCAAAGGATCAATATTTGTTGTTTTAATAAAAATCAAAATAATATTTGATCATTATTTTCTTTAAATAGTATAAGTAGTACATACTTTGATGAATTAATAGTAAATTGCATACAGGACGTCGATAACCATGACAGCTGATTGTTATAGAAGAAGGTTTGGACAATTCAACTTCATTTGATGAATACTTGTACTCTACAATAGAAAATTTGTCAGTTTATACTCCAATATCATATTCATGATGTTAATTATTTAAATGTGAAAAAAAGTTAACCATAGTAACTAGCTATTCAAAATAAGACACAATGAAGTAATTAAATTAAAACATCTAAATCATCAATATCCAAGAGACAGAACGGCCGTCCAGTGCTTCCAGATTTTCCATGATGGTCTAGTTTCAATCGATTCATGATCTCAACTATCAAAAAATTACTATAATATCCACAAAACCTCTTCTGATAATAACAAACTATAAATTTTATCCAAGAATAAACATTGAGCAATAAATAGTTGTAACTCCGCCTGCAGCTCCTTCGGGGGCTAATGCCGTTCCCAAGCCCGGGTAAAGGAGGAGGGTTGGACATGGGGTTAGCGATCCCATCCCGTAGAAAACCAACTCGCTAAAAAAATGCTAACCAGAAAAAAAGTTATAAATAGTTGTACAATAAGAATCGGATCAATACAAAATTTTGATATTTATTCATTTATTTATATGAAGTTGGGAAATATTAAAACATGGCCCTTCATAGATTTTAAAATGAAACGCTCAGAAAAAAACCTTTCCGAAATTCTGGTGAAGAGCTGTGGCTAGTGGAGCTCAACCAAGTGGAGTGTGACAAAAATACTCACTGAAGACAGTGGAAAGTAGTCGTGTCATATTCCGGATTGACTGAATTCAGACTTGTAAACCAATGGATCCCCACTCACAGTCCTACATATTAAGAGTCAACGCATAGGAAAGGCGGCCCTGATTCGGTTCTCGGTTGTTGGTCGTAGGTGCGCATCACTACGACGCAACTAGAGTTAAGTGCTCCCAGCTTTCTAATGGCTCTATAACCGTAAGGATGGATCGTTGGTAAACTCAAGAAAGCCTCAAGAAGGCCAGAAACAGCCGAAGAAATTCCATCCGATCACTGCTAGGGGAATATTCTAGAATGTCGACGTGTAACTTCCCCATTTGATGGATAAGAATAACCCCCCATGTGCCTATTGGTCATCCGAAATGATGATTTACTCTCAGTCAAAAACTATAAATACACGAGATTTCTGCACTATATTTTGACACTGTTTTGGGGAATAAGGTTCCTATTTACTAGTCTTCTGTCTTCTCTCTTGCGACGTTGCGGGTTTGATCGTTCAAGTAGTGTAGTAGTACGCGGCATAGTAAGAATCAAAGCTCTAGAAATAACAATAACCTAGATCGGTTTGTGGTCGCAATAAAATTTAAAGCTCCAGTTTGTTATAAGATCCTTATAAGATCAATCATTCTACTATCAGTTCGATAATTCAACTTGGTATATCGAGTGTATTGAAGTAAACAATTAAGTTGTAATATGACGAAGACTAGAAAAGCATGACCTTGATCACTACACAACCAAATGTAAATATCCCTGTCCTACACAAAGCTAGAATTATGTATTGATAAAATATTAGGTCGTGAAGCTGGTCTACTCATGTGTTAATCACAAAAACATCACCAGTTTCTTTAAGGTGACAAATATGGTTTACTGATGAGAGCCACCAAAACTCGGTTCATACAGGGTTTCCTGCCAACTACCATTCATCAATTAATAAAAGACTAACTACTTATAGAACCGGCATGAATAGTTGTATTTATGTTCGCTTAATAAGTTCAATAATTGTTCAATACTGTTAACATGATTCATCGATAAATAAAAAGCCAATAAATAATTACTGGAGTAATCCAAACGTAAACGAGCGATAAGACCAGAACGAGTAGCAAACCATATTTCATGATGACTAGTCAGTGGTATAATAAGTAGGCGACATATAGTTAAATCAATCGGATCTGTAACATTTTCCATATCTATGAAGAATTAAGAAAAAAAACGCAGGAAATGTAGTAGTGAGAATTATATTAGCATAAACATATAATTCAAATGTTTATGTTGGAAACAATACTACTAGTAAGTAAATAGTGTTTTATAGGACAATTTCTTATGAACGTATCACTGGTTGATTCAGTCAATCAGCTACAACGTAGAACCAGGCACACACATGCATCGGTCCAAGTTTCCATACCTCGCTCATTGGCATAACAAGGTGAACACCGGATTCATAGAAGTAATTAATTTAATGGTGGCAATATATAAAAGAAAGGTTGTATATAATGATATAAAACAGAAAGAAAGACAGATATGAAGCAATTTTAATCTCAAGGTTTAAAGAACCATAAAGAGTGCATACACCTGCGCCATTGTGATCGATTATAAGCCAAGTCACCCAAAGTCTCCAACCATTGATTACGATAGTCGCGCGGACCCAAACCAAGTAGTCTGCATCTACCAAAATGGCTCAAACTAGAAGTAAGTGACTTCAAGCACTGATGCCACGTTTTGGTTTGGCCGCCCCTAACTCACTGGTTGACTAACAAATTAACAACTGATTGATGCATAAACTTTATGAATTAATCGTTTGTCTCCGTTGTCTGTACCAAGTGTTGACTACTGTTGTCAGTTTGAATATTAGTTATTTTTGCCTTGAGTTAACTGTTATTTACTGCGGCAATACGTTTACATTAATACAGAAAATAACTATCTGATTTTAACCGACCTAAAATGCAATCATTCACATAAACCTCAATAAAATGTGAATTATTTGACGTTAATCGATGATGTTAATCAATTAAAGTGTCCGGCTTTCCACCATTAACGGTTGAAAGCTCTAATCCTGACCCATCTACAAACTAATCTAGTCATTCAGACACAGTATTGCCAACTTTTAAATAAATAAAGTATGTTGCTCATGCTCGGCGACATAAATTTGTACTTTGTTATTGAATTACAATAGGACAATAATTGAAACGTATAGCCGAACCACTTGACCAACCGTTGCACAAAGTGAGAACGATTGAATTTTTAGAATAACACAATGGAAACGGATGTATGAAAGAATACAGAAATTCAAGACTGAAAGATAAAAGCTTAATCTATCTGCATTATTCTAAACGATTCGAAGTCATAGTATCAAACATCACCACCAGTCAATAATTATGATTTTCGGTTCGATTACAACAAAATATATCTACCTCTACAAAACATGGCTTAAATCTATAATTCAATGATAATTAAACTATTTACAGAACAATAATTTATCCCAAACTTACCTAACATTGAAGACAATGAATTGGTTAAATCAATTTGACGTAGAATACACTTTTGTTTAGGACAACATGCTAGTAGACGTGCCATTCCAACGCTTATTCCACCATTGACATTATGTTGACACTTTTTCTGGTTAACGATAACATCATCATCAATGTCTTTATTATCAACGTTATTACAGTTACTATCGGTTGTACATGTTGAAATTTTCTCACATGATGCACAAATTGTAGGATTACCAGATACAGCTAACCAGACAATATCAGCCAATCCCATTGTAGATGGTTTAACACATATTGCATGTAGACATGGTGTTTCATTCGGTAATGCTAAACTGTACGAGTAAAATAAAGAAAAATGTAAAATAGCACTGATACAATGGAACTCCGAACTGTGTTACTCCGATATAAAGTGGATGTCTTTTCTCAATTTGACAAATTATATGAAGAGCCAGATGGAAAAGTATGGTAATAATAAGTAAATGGTTTATTCACTGAACTAAACTCACTGTCAATATACTTTTACAAGTAGTAATCTTGGATTGATATTTACAGAAGGAACAGTGAAGATTAAGATAATTGGTTGTTAGTTTGCAAATTGACTGTTTACTACTGTATGGTTATCAGAATTTAATGGGATAGTCTGTAATTTGTGTCTAAATACATTCGATTGTTCCCTAGTCGTGTTCTTGTTCAATAAAATATGACTAAATTACAATTGAGCAATATAGCTGATATCAATTTAAAATGTAAAGCCCTAATTCTAATTCTTAAATGAAACTGTCAATGTTAAGGTCTAGTTTCAATTTTTTACACTAATTTTTAATCCAATCTTCATCTTAATAAATGGTTGAATTTTCTCGAAACCATTATTTAAGTATTGCTCAAAGGTCGTCCATAAATTATAGTGTCGCAGAGACGATACAAAAAAAACAAATACATATACATAACTAACCTTGCACAAGCAAGTGGCTATCAATACTCAGTAGGTGAGTGGATAACGCGATGGCATTTGAAGCGGAAGGTAGTGGGTTTGAGTCCCAGAGTGGACATCAACTCTGAGATGCAGGTACATTCAGCTGACGAGTCCCAAATAGGAGGAAACGCGCTTCAAAATGGATTCCACTGCTAACCACTATCCATCTTTGCTTACAATGCTTATGAAATAAGGCTATATCGAGGCAATACGCACAGTATGCACATATGCCAAATAAGAAACTGACCAGTTACAGTCCTAAACATCAATGGGAAGATTCAAACAAGTAACACTAAGTGAATTCATAACTAACCTTGTTATAAAATCACCTGATTGAACAGCTAAACAATAACAATGACCACCACCAGCTGTACCAAGCCATATATAATCATTTATTGAAGAAATATTATTCTCATTCATCGTAGAACATTGGTTAGAAGAAGAAGAAGTCGAGGATGAAAATGAAGAAGCCATAATTAACGGACCAGTTGATAAAGATTCAAATGGTAAATTAATAAGTTTATGTTTTGTTTGTATTTTGTTCAAAGTAGAAGTAATCATTGAAGATGATGTATTTATGGTATGATTATGTTGATTATGCATAAATGTTAATGGCCATTGAAAGCAAACAATATGAGTTGTACTAAGTGAATTGAATAGACCAATACATACATAATTATCATGTGAACTATAAACAAAAACAATGTATATGGACAGAGTGAATAAAGGTGGTTGAGTAAGAAATGAATAGGTCGGATAAAGAAGAAAAATGAATATAAAGTAATTAGATCGACGACGATGATCGGTCAGAAGTGACGAAATACAAATATTATAACATAATGGATGAAGCCTTATTTGAAAACCTATCCTAATATTTATGACCAGATTAAATATCCCAATTATACAGAAAAAAGCCTTGGTTAGGGTTAGGCATTCGATTGATTGATTTTAACACAAGGGATCATCAAAATATATATGAGTCGCACAATATCAATGAGATTGTGAAATGACAGAGGAAGTGAAGTACGCAATATTAAAAAAAACAGCGAACAGAAATTAGTGTATGAGAGTGAAATAGCAATAATGGGAGAAACAGTTCAGTTAGCAAAAATATAATCCGAAAGAATCCTTTCAGTTAAAGAAGTTACTGATTAATATCATGAATCGATAAAAGTTTGACCACCATTGAAAACCTGGAAGCAATAGACGGCCTTATCGTCTTAGTATGGAACCCCCGCATCCACGATCTCGCGAGCGGGATTCGAACCCAGTTGGAATCAAGTAGATGTATTCACCATTTATTTGGCTTCTGATCTGGAATTCTAGTGTGCCTTCATAGATACTTATGCACTCTGTCTTTTAAAAACATATTCTCAATATCTAGTTTCTTTTATTACCATTGCAACTTTGATCTCCTTTATCATGTTATTTTCATCCCGTCATCTTAATTTGATATTGGCAATTTAAACCAACGTCTGTTGATATCAGGTATTACACTGAAGAAGACAAGAAGACAAGAAACAAGTAATTCACCATCAAATTACCATAACTTACATCATTCCATTAGCTACTAAACCTTGACTATTTGTATTAAATCGATAAATTATTTGTGGCATGACAACAACATTGAAATGACTTGAAACAATTTGTTCATTATCATTATTATTTCTGACCAAATCAGACGAACTAGTTGACTTCATGCTATAACATAATTTAAAAACTAGAAATCGTCCATCATTTGACGCTAGAATTACACAACCATCTGAAATAAGTTTTTTTTTTTAAAAAAAAAATGTAGAAATGGATAAAAGGAACTTGTTAAATGAGAGCAGAGAATTAGAGAAACATGAAAAAAAACAACGACAAACTGACAAAGATTTAGTGTGATTGTGAAAAGGATTTCGTGTACATTGTTTTAGTTTAAAGATTGTATTCATCATAGAATGATTTCAATTGGGGTCCTATTGAAAACCAAACGGCACTAGACAACTGCTTTGTCCTAGTATAAAGACTCTCTACCTTGATAGCATGTACACACGACCCCGCCAAATATCAAAATTAAGATTCATCAATCTTATTCATTATTGTTATTATTATTACTTTCCATCAAATCCTAACATCATTTAAAATGACTAATTATTTATTCACTCCGGGTAAAAATCGAAATCTGATCTTTTATACTGTAATTGTGCCTTTAATTACCATTATAGAGATTTGTGGAGATCATTGAATGTTATTAATAACAACAACCTAAGTTAAGCATTCATTGAAACCTTGAAGGTACTGTACAGCTGTTTCACCCTAGTAAGAGACTACTTGGTAGTCTGTACACGTAACCCCACCGCAGGAGGTTGGACCCGTCTTGTGCACGAACACTCAACCTCTACATCACTGGGTCAGAATTCAATAGTGTATATGTTTACTGTCTATCAATTCACGATATTTAGAAACCATCTACCATTGTCTAACTCCGCCTGTAGCTCTTCTAGAGTTACTGCCGGTCTCAAGCCCACACAAAGGAGGAGGGTTGGGCATGGGGTTAGCGACCCCATCCCGTAGAAAAGCTAACTCGCTAAAAAAACGCTAACCAGAAAAAATAATTCAAATCATTTAAACTCTGCCCTCCAAGTTGAAGGAATAATTATGACGTCTCATGATGAAAGCCGAAATTCTTCGGAAGTCACGAGACCGATGCACCTTCTAACAACCAGAGCAACACTCTTTATAGGTACATGGAACGTCCGGACAATGTGGGAGACAGGAAAGACCAGCCAAATAGCAATGGAAATGAGGAGATACAACTTGGCAGTACTCAGAATCAGCGAAACCCATTGGACACAAACTGGACAACAAAGGCTAGGTACAGGAGAGATGCTGCTGTACTCCGGTCACGAAGGGGAAAATGTTCCACACACTCAGAGAGTCGCTCTAATACTTTCCAAAGAAGCACGAAATGCACTTGTGGGATGGGAATCTCATGGACCCAGGATAATCAAAGCATCATTAAGAACAAAGAAGCAAGGGATCACAATGAACGTTATCCAATGTTATGCACCCACCAATGATAGCAACGACGATGATAAAGATCAGTTCTATGAAAGGCTGCAATCAATTATAGACAAGTGTTCACGAAAGGACCTCACCATTCTGATGGGAGATCTAAATGCTAAAGTTGGAGTTGACAACACAGGATATGAAGATGTAATTGGACGACATGGACTAGGAGAGAGAAATGAAAATGGGAAGAGACTTGCAAACCTATGTGCATTCAACAAATTGGTTATAGGCGGCACAATATTTCCACACAAGCGCATACACAAAGCTACATGGATCTCACCGGACCACACCACAGAGAACCAGATAGATCACATCTGTATCAACAGAAAATTCCGAAGATCAATGGAAGATGTGAGAACCCGGAGAGGAGCTGACATAGCTTCAGATCACCACCTAGTTGTGGCCAAGATGAGACTGAAGCTAAAGAAACACTGGACAACTGGACAAACAGCACTACAAAGGTTCAATACAGCCTTTCTTTCGAGATATTGACAGGCTCAATGAATTCAAGATAACTCTCAACAACAGGTTCCAAGCTCAACAGGATCTACTGAATGAACAAGAAACTACTTTGGAGGACAACTGGAAAGGGATAAAAGAAGCACTAACTTCAACGTGTCAGGATGATCTTGGTTCTAAGAAGCATCATCACAAGGAATGGATCTCTCTGGGAACCCTGGACAAAATTCAAGAAAGGAAGAACAAGAAACTAGCAATTAACAACAGCCGAACACGAGCAGAGAAAGTCAAAGCACAAGCAGACTACGCAGAAACAAACAGGGAAGTGAAGAAAAGCATTAAAGCCGACAAGCAGAAATACATGGGAGAACTAGCAACGACGGCGGAAAAAGCTGCAAGAGAAGGGAATATGAAACAACTATATGATAAGACGAAGAAATTGGCAGGGAGATATAGCAAACCAGAGAGGCCAGTCAAAGACAAAGAAGGAAAGACAATCACTGAGATTCAAGAACAGAGGAAAAGATGGGCAGAATACTTCGATGAACTGCTGAATAGACCAGCCCCATTGAATCCACCGAACATCGAAGCAGCACACGCTGACCTTCCTATAGATGTCACTCCACCAACGATCGAAGAAGTCAAGATGGCCATCAGACAAATCAAAAGTGGGAAGGTGGCAGGACCTGACAATATACCAGCAGAAGCACTGAAGTCAGACATTGAAATAACTGCAAACATGCTTCACCTTCTATTCAAGAAGATTTGGGAAGAGGAACAAGTGCCAACGGACTGGAAAGAAGGATATCTCATCAAGATACCAAAGAAAGGAGATCTGAGCCAATGTGAGAACTACAGAGGCATCAGTTTGTTATCAGTACCAGGAAAAGTTTTCAACAGAGTGCTGCTGAATCGGATGAAAGACGCAGTAGACGCCGAACTTAGGGATCATCAGGCTGGATTCCGTAAGGATAGGTCGTGCACAGACCAGATTGCAACACTACGGATCATCGTTGAACAATCAGTTGAGTGGAACTCATCACTATACGTCAACTTTATTGACTACGAGAAGGCGTTTGACAGCGTTGACAGGAGAACATTATGGAAACATCTTCGACACTATGGAGTTCCTCAGAAGATCGTCAACATTATCCAAAACTCATACGATGGACTACAGTGCAAAGTGGTGCATGGAGGACAGCTGACAGATGCATTTCCAGTAAGGACCGGAGTCAGACAAGGTTGTCTACTCTCCACATTCCTCTTCCTTCTAGTGATTGACTGGATTATGAAGAATTCGACATCTGAGGGGAAATACGGAATACAATGGACAGCTCAGAATCAATTAGATGATTTGGACTTCGCAGATGACCTAGCCCTCCTCTCTCATACACACGAACAAATGCAGATGAAGACAGCAAATGTAGCAGCAGCCTCCGCATCGATAGGCCTCCACATTCACGAAGGGAAAAGCAAGATTCTCAAATGCAACACGGAGAACACCAACCCAATCACACTTGATGGCGAAACTCTGGAAGAGGTGGAAACATTCACGTACCTGGGGAGCATCGTTGATAAACAAGGGGGATCGGATGCAGATGTAAAGGCAAGGATTGGCAAAGCAAGGGCAGCATTTCTACAATTGAAGAATATATGGAACTCAAAACAACTATCAACTAATTTCAAAGTCAGAATCTTTAACACGAACGTCAAGACAGTCCTACTGTATGGAGCTGAAACATGGAGAACTACTACAGCCATCATCAGGAAGGTACAAGTATTTATAAACAGTTGTCTACGCAAAATACTCAACATCCATTGGCCGGATACTATCAGCAACAGCGTTTTATGGGGGAGGACAAACCAGCTGAACAATAAATTAGGAAAATACGTTGGAAGTATATAGGACAAAACACATTATGGAAATCACCAATGTGCATCACGACTCAATCCCTAACTTGGAATCCGGAAGGGAAGCGGAAAAGAGGAAGGCCAAAGAACACACTACGCCGAGAAATAGAAGCCGATATGAAAAGGATGAATGTTAACTGGAAAGAACTGGAAAGGAAGGCTCAGGACAGAGTTGGATGGAGAATGCTAGTGAGCGGCCTATGCTCCTCGACGAGGGGTAACGGGCGTAAGTAAGTAAGTAAGTATGTAATCTACCATTGCCTACACTTTTTTTCATACTCCAGTTAGTCTAATTCATTCTCTTCACTACTGTAAACTACACACTGCAAGGAATTCCGTTCATTATACATAAACAAACAATAGAATGTATCTATACTGTTAATCATTTCTTTAATTGATTGTAAAGTGATTGGAAAAATGAAGCCGCTATCACAGGTGAAACATTTTCATCCTAGAAATATTCATTCCTTTTTTTATTCCAAAGTCTAAATTTATCGACCTTTTTTTTTCTTTTATCAATAATTCTCCATTCTGATGAATAATTAAGTCAATCAAAACATTAACATCATAATTACTATGTTGACTTTTGAACTTATTCTGGGATTGGTCACCATGGTTATTGTATAGGCAGTATGGTTCTCTCAAAGTATTAACTTGCTTTGATTGAAACAATAAAATTTCTTTTTCAGTAACTGTCTTTCCTACCACCCTTATTGAAATATTGAGGAACCGATGGTATTATGTAGTTGTAGTTGTTAGTGGATGTGAAAAATAAGAGCTAAGTTTCATCCCAATCATAAATAATCTACAAGTACAGATAACTGACTTTATAAACAGGGATAATGAATTGATTGGTAAAAAATGACTATACAACTATTGTAACCAAAGATGGATAGTGGCTAGCAGTGGAATCCAGTTTGACGCGTGTCTCGTCTTATTTGGGACTCGTCAGCTGGATGTACCTGCATCTCAGAGTTGATGATCACTCTGAGACTCGAACCCATTACCTTTTGATTCAAACACCATCACGTTATCCACTGGGCCACTAAGTCCTGATAGCCACTTGCTTGTGCGATGGGGTGAAGTTTGAATTCATTTAGTATTGTTTGTTTGAATCTTCCCATCGATGTGTCAGGACTGCAACTGGTCAGTCTGTAATTGTGAACTAAGGCTATATCGAGGCAATACGCACAGTATGTACCTATGCCAATTAGAGACTGACCAGTTGTAGTCCTAACACATCGATGGGAAGATTCAAACAAACAATACTAAATGAATTTATACAACTATTAACTGATTAAAATAAATTATTAGCCGAAATTACTGAACAAATAATATTGACATACCGTTATTTTTATTACAAACTGTCTCATTCATACTATTACTACTATTATCATAAGATTCATTGATATCCCATGTAAATTCAATGTACTCATGATTTGAGGTTGATTCAGGTGAAGATAGAGCAGTTGACGCTACTGTAAGAAAAAAATATATTTTTATAAAAAAACAAAATAAATAAACAGAATTGTGAAGAAGATTTGCTAAGAACAGAAGTTAAATGTTAAAATGTTGAGAGTAAGAGAATAGTAGTTGAATAGACAGTTGATCGATACAATCTAATCAACCATAAACTTATAGAATAACCGTTAGGGGACCTTAAACAATCACAAGTGAATCACTTATTCAAAATACAAAGATGGATCAATCGATAGTTAACAAAGGTTGACACAATTAGTACCAATTTTGAAACCTGTTCAATTTATTTCAGTATGCGTAGTTGGGTAGTAGAAGGCGAACATGTCAACTACGCTTCTCACCACCTCTTAATATCAGTACCCATCATTGGGTATATGACATATATTTATCCGAAACAGTAATAATATCTCGACTTTTAATAGTATTACTCTAAACATAAGTAAAATATACGTGAGCTCCACGTGGTTTATGTGGACCATACAGGTCTTTCGATACCAATAAATTGATCTATCAAGAATTAATCATTGTTCCTTTAATCAGTATAGCAGGATCATTGTTTATGGGTTGGTACCGTTGAGGATTAACTAGTAAATCGAAGTTTTATAATAAATCGGTACAGACTATAGGTACTGACACGTATGTCACAATAAATTACCGGCAAAAATAGGGTCAACATTAGTTTACGATCTCCATGCGTCTTTACATCGAACGCACTTGCTATTTGTAGCACTACAAAAAAGGTCACAATAATAGTCAAGTTTTGTTAGAAATGCTAAAATCCCTTCGGGAACGATAACTGCTAGCACATTTTCTGACGATTCGATTTTCTGCACGACCTTCGCCCTCTGATTGATGATAATTGCTGCATGCTTGAAGGTCATACTCTGCTTCAATAGTAACAACTCTTGCGCCAGTTCCGGTTGTACTGTTTTTCCTATTGCAATATCGAGTTATCTGCAGTTCTGTCTTCTTTCTATGTTAGCCGTCGAGGTTTGATGTGTTGTGTGTAAATATTTGTTGACGAATTCAAAAATAAAAAGTTGTATTAGAACAGCTAAATCATTTCTGCTCCGTAACATCGTAGATGTACTGAACCACAATAACAAGACACAACAAATGCCAGTAGTATATCAATGTTTCATCTCTCTTCACCTGGAAGTGGCAGAATACTTATTCCCTCTCTGGCGTTTATTAGAAGTTGCGCACCCGTAGCTTAATCCTTTATGTAAAACAAACAACTGTTTGACAAAATCAGTCGTCACAAACAACTGATGGACTCGTTTCTCCGTTGTGCGATACTAAATATCCAAGGTCGTTTACAATTCTTGTCCTCTTCCAATATGTCTGATGATATCAAAAAACAAATGGCGCTGTGTATCTCCTTGTACTTGACTGGCTTTTCACGCACGATCTGCTTCGTGACTGAATTTTTGGTCTGCCGTCCGTAGTCAACTCTGTTGGTTTTCTACATAAGAAGTTAAACATTCTTTACAACGTATCGATTTAATAGTTCATTGCTGTGTCACTTACTTCCAAATATATCTGATTAGTTCTCTAGTATATCTGATGGACTGTTTCAACAATCTTGTTGATATGGGTGTCATTATCTCCTACTGCCATTACCTGCTAGACGTTCAGAGGTAGTCAACGTAGTCACAAGTGATAAAGCAGGCTACGATCTACTTTCTTGAATACTTTGGAAAAGCAGATAGGAAAATTATTAGTGACTCACTAGTTAGGCCAATCAGATTGATTGAAAGAACATCATTACAGAGACGTTGGCAAAATGTTAACCGAATACATGTATGTTAACATCTTTAGGTGTACGATCACTGGTTTAATTAATAACCATTAGTCATAAGATATCGAAAGTTAGTAGCAGTAATAGTAGTGATGGAATGAATGCTTGTACAGATATTTTTATTCGTTAATCAACAATGCCAGCTAACTTAAGCTGAAATAGCCAATGAAAATCAAAAATAATTAGACAGTTATTTAATCCTAGTATGAGACTCCACAGTAGTGAACAACCATGGTCTCATCAGTACCTGGAGCTCAAAACCTAACGAACTGACCTCATGAGCGCCTCACCTTCAGACTGCTGAGTAAGCATTTTATGTGCCGACTTCTAAAGTGTTCACTACTAAGACAAAAGATTTATCTGATTCTTCTTGGCTTTCAATGGTTTTCCAGTTAAAATCAATCTGTGATGTAAACGATAAAACTAATAAATCACAATAATAGTAATAAAAAATAATAATAATAATAATGACACTAAATACCTTCACTATATTTTACATAAACAGCTGCTGTTGGCAAGAAACCATTATCTAAATCAAAACTATTAATAGGTTGAGTAAATTTTGTTGGTTCAAATATATGCACTTGTCCAAGATAACCACGATTTAATGATAATGAAGAATCATTGGAATTTGGATAATCCCCTGAACTACCACGACCAATCAACCATAAATGATACTATATATTTAATACAAAAAGAGAAAAGAAGAACTACAATAAAAACGATAACATGAAACTGTCAAGAATGAACTTGTGGGATAGAAAAAGTAAAAAATAATTCTGAAACCCAAGATTCATGGTGAATACATCTGCATCATTGTGTAAACGGTTTTGAGCCATGTAATTCAAAGTTCTAGGGTTATCAAGTGGATTGCAAACAAATAAATTGCACTAAGTCGCACAGTTCAACCCAATAGACGATGACTTCATGAATTGATGCTATATCTTGATTTGACCGTTTTTAGTTTTTGCCTACAGCACAGTCCTACACAAGACAATATCATGAGTTAAGGTAGACGACTTCTCATCAGACAATTTAAACAAGAATAGAGGGAAATCTGACAGGTAACTCTTAATTCGTGACAACGTTACATGACCACATGTCAGAAAATCTCATTGAAATAAATGAATTTCAACTCAGTTACGAAATAATATCGTGACTATCCCAAGAACTTAAATGTTATGGGAGAAACTCGCAGTATTCAACTTACTATGAACTACCATTGTGAATATCACCCTTTTTTACTAGGTTTTGGAACATTTGTTTTACCCAAACTTTGAACTTGGATTGTTCATAACTTCGACTTTAAACTTCAAATGCCTATCTCAACAATGGTCTGACAGTTGGCATTTTTGTCTTTGAAAACCCAAATATTGAAGGTTTATTATGAAACTTATGATTAGAATTTTTATGTAAAACAATATTCTGGTTGATTCGCTATAAACAAACAACATCTAATTATTAGAATCTTTTGTTCTCGTTATTCGATTGGAAGTTGCGATTTGACCGAATATTTGTGTTTCAATTAAACGAGAATCAAAAATTTGAGCATAACATTATTTATAATTTAAACAAATAAACATTGGTACAAGCAAGTACCAAATATAAATGCGCCACATAAATCATTCGATTTGTGTGAGGGATGGGATACTCCTGAGGTGCCCAAAGAGAAGCAGGTGGTTTTCTTAGGAAGCCACATCCCGAGCCTTTTACCTAAAGGTCCAATCAACAAGACAGTAGAGCAACGTCACGACATGCAGACTCATGGAGGCCAGTGATAAACAATAGATTCATACGTCATTCGTTCCCTTAGGATTCTGGAGCCCATGCGCACAATTGATTTGGAATCAGGGTTTCCAAACTCTCCTAGGTGGGTCCTCCGTACCCATAAACCTGGTTAAAGCACTGGACATTCGCTTATCGTCCTCTCAATTTCGTAAACAAATACTGCATGAAAAACCCTTTTCCGGGAAGGTGGTGATTAGGACTTCCCTGGCAGTGGACATATACTCGTGACCGTGGGAAAGCATTTCGAGAGGGGGAGATGACTCTCCTTACTCTCAGCCGTATTATGGTATTTGGGGATAACAGATTCAATCAATTGAGAAGAGATTGTGTACGAGGACTGATGAGGAGAGTTTATACCAGAACGAAACAGCTATATAATTCACAACACAATACCGAATAGTATGAATATGATACAATAGTAAGATTGAGAACATTTTTTTGAAGTCAGACGCATAAGTGTTGGGTTTGTATAAAAACACCATAATGTAAACAAATGAGAACACCTGACAGTCTAGACTTATCAGAATTCCTAGAAGGTTAATAGATACTGTAGTATTCTTCAAATTCAAGTATCTATTACTTTTGTTGCAACATCGGTGCATATATTAGTCAGTCAGTCAGCAACAACATAGGACCAGGCACATATATGCATCGGTCCAAGTTGCCATACCTCTTTAGCACAACAAGATGAACACCGAATTCATAGAAATAGTTAATTTAATGGTGTTAATATATAAAAGAAAAGTTGTATATAAGGATATAGTATAAGAAGAAAGAGAAATATGAAGCAATTTTAATCTCATAGTTTAAGGGAAGACGGATAGTGTATACACCTGCGTCATTGTGATCGATTCTCAGCCATGTCACACACAGTCTCCAACCATTGGTTACGATAGTCACGCGAACCCCAACACAAGTAATCTGCATCTACCAACATGGCTCAAACTAGAAGTTAATGACTTCAAGGACTGATACGACGTTTTGATGTGGCCACCCCTAACTCTCTTTCAACCATCTCGAATACAAGTCAGCATAGCGCGTCGTGGTAATCGGTGTTCAGGCATACGTAACACGTGGCCCAACCATCTCAATCGATGAAGATTCATGATCTCATTAACTTTTAGTTCATTAACACTAACTATCACGAAATTTCCACTAACATAAGAATGATTGTAAACAAATGAAAATGTTATGCTTTATACTAAATGAGAACTAATAAAATCCAAGGTATCTATCTTAGTTATATTAAAAAGAATTTAAGGTGACTATATAGATCATAGATAAAAGAAAAACACAACCATACTCAATAAGAAAATAAAAGATGGATCTTTTATACAACAGATCAATTAAATAGATAGATACTAATGTATATATTTGCATAGAATATTTAATTGTTTTGAAAAAGAATAAAATACAAACAACTTTTGGCAAAAAACGATCCATGGAAATGAAGGTGTGGCATTTATTCAATGAATATTACAAATTATAACAAATATTATTGAAATGAGTGTTTTGTAGTTAACTTTGATAAACAGAAATCCACACCTGTACTTCAAGGAGAATAGTAGTACTAGTAGTAGAAGTGACAAGTAAGTATTAAGTAATGGGTGAGGTAATCACTTACTTTAGGTTTGGAATTACAATCCAAGGATGCAATTGGAACAGTAAGTGATGTACATATCTGTGTAAATAATAATTTAGAAAGAAAAGTTCAAACAATGATATGTTAGGAATATTTAATGTTCAATATAAAATTGTATTCACCATTGAACAAGTAAACAATTGATACCATCTAACTGGAACTCGTGAAATAATAAAAAACAGAGAGGAGGGAGGAGTGACAACAAGCATACATCCACCAACCATCTTGCATTGCCTTGTTGTTTAGTGTAGGCAGAAAACTGTGTTGATTAACTCAGTCGATAATAAACAACATCGAATCTGACACATATATATGCACCGATTCAAGTTACCATACCATATAAACACAGTAAGATGAAATTGTCCAGACATATGATAGAACCGTAGATGTAGAAACAGTGTCAGTGATAAGGATAGTAAATCATGATCTACTTATTCAGATACTCAGCGAGTGGAAATAATGATAGTTGATAAATTAATTATAATCACTTCTGCTCTCTTTCTCTCTTACATATCAGGCACTAAGCAGTTCCATACTATTCTCACATCTATTCATATCAACCAATACTGGTATTTCTTAATGATGGTTTATTGATTATTTCCCTTCCCCCAAAGTAGTAATGTGAAATAGTTGAAATCATGAGTAAATTCAAGCTAGACCACCATGGCAAATCATATGCTCATTAGAGACTAATTGTAAGGGATCTTTCCTTGAGTTCTAGCGAGAAGCAGAGACCAGTGGAGTTCAACCAAGTCTGTTGTAGAGATATTAACTCACTGAAGACAATTGGTGAACGGCTGCTCAAACATTGTGGATTGGTTGAAGTTAGACATTAACACCGTTGGACGCCGGCTCAGTGGTCTGTCAGTTAAGTGCTCTGGCGCAAGACTCGTAGGTCCTGGGTTCGAATCTCGCGAGTGCGTTATCGTGGATGCGCACTGCCACTGAGGAGTCCCATAATAGGACGAAACGGCCGTCCAGTGCTTCCAGCTTTTCCCTGGTGGTCTAGCTTCAATTAACCCATGATTTCAATCATGAAAATACTGAAATATCCACAAAAAACCCTTCTGATCAGTAATGTGAAATATTGCAACTTGAGAATATTCATCTAGATTTGTGTCATATCTAATGTTGTTTACACTATATGTTTAGGAACACTGATCATATGTAATCTATACATATCAAAAGACAAATGTAAATAACTCCCCGATAATGTACACTTTTCTATGTTGCGATCATGTTAAAACATTTGAAATACTATCATTTTGTTGTTATTCAAAACAAAAAATCCCTTAACACAATGATTGTTAAACAATTGAACTTACCTCTAAGTTTTTCTTATGTAAACCACCAATTGTTCTACATTGAATAGGAACTGGTACATTAGAATATACATTATCATCAACAGAATCACTGTTACTTTGCACAACACCACCATTATTATTGTTATTATTATTACAACTGAATTTTCGATCAGATTGTTTACCAGTTACCCAACCGTAAATTGGAGAATTGGTACATGTTGCTGACAATGTAATCCATGATAGAGAATTATCCGTACTGTGTTGAAGAGAAACAAACACATACATACTCAGTAATCAACTATTTAAAAATAATAAAATAAGTAAATTACACAATTTTCCGAAAGTGTATTATATTGATTAAATAAAAAAAATTCTATAGGCAATACTCGTCACAGACTGGTTTCAGTTGTGGTATCATTGAAAAACTAGGGAACATTGGATAGTTGTTTTGTTTACGTATGAGTTTCTTCAGATGTGTATACAAACACAATGTGTTAACTGATGAATAAAAGACCCTGTTGAGATAGTAAATTAGATTTACTTTGCGAATATTGTTTTGCTATCCATTGTTTTTTAGTGATTCTCACCTAACTTTTATAGCTATTATTATCAACTATAAAACGTTGTTTAAGTCATTATATTAAGTCTTTGATCTGTCCAGTCACTAATATGTAGACGATAAGTTTTCTTAATCTAGATTAAAACCTTGACGCGATAAAGCTGACTGGTTTAACCTTGAGGCTAGTATGCATGAGTTTGAATTGCGACAAACAGCTTGGAGTAGAGAGACGAAAACCATTCTATCACCTGATTGGCTGACAAGCGCACGAGAGAGAGAAAGTGAGTTAACTGGGACACTCCGATTTACACTCCAATCTATATTCATTCTTTTGATATCTGCGTCCGATTCTCGGCGCAGAGTGTTCTTTGGTCTTTCTGTTTTCCGTTTCATTTCAGGATTCCAAGTTAGCGCTTGCTTCATGATGCAATTTAATGATTTCCTATCCACTTGAATCGTCTTTTCCTAATATCCTCTCCAGCTGGAAGCTGGTTTGTTCTCTTCCACAGTATGCTTTTGTTGAACATATCCGGCCAACGAACATTCAGTATCTTGCGTTCCAAGTTGTTAAATCCTAACGAAGTCATTGAATAACATGGGTCGCAATATCACAACAGCATTCATATGAAAAAAACAGCCTATGCAAACTTCTACGACACCATTATAAACATAACGTGCATTTACTCCCATACATCTTTATGTGTAAGATTTATTTCAAATCATCTAATTGTCAATTCAAGAGTATCTTTACACGCCCTCACAAAGTGTTTGCAATCTACGAGAACCTGATCAACAACATCTTCTAAGAAAAGCGACAGTCAATTATTTATGGAATTTATGCATCAAATATATTCAGTAATAATTAAAACATGGAAGCAAGATTGATCGCAAGAATTCACAGATGATTGAAAGTTCATCAATGTTTAGAGACACTTAGTGAACATTGTTTGAATAATCAAAAGTTAAAATGTAATAAAATGTTAATTATGAATTCACTTATTATTGTTTGTTTGAATCTTCCCATTGATGCTTAGGACTGCCACTGGTCAGTCTCTTATTGTCATATGTGCATACAGTGTATAATGCCTTGATTCACAAGCATTATAAGTAAAGATGGGTAGTGGCTAGCAGTGGAATCCAGTTTGACGCGCGTTTCGTCCTATTTGGGACTCGTCAGCTGAATGCACCTGCATCTCAGAGCTGATGTTCACTCTGGAACTCGAACCCAGTGCCTTTCGCTTCAAACGCCATTGTGTTATCCACTCGGCAATTATTCATAGTTTGCTTTGAAAATCTCTCGACATAGTAAAGCATATAGATTTAATCAAATAAATATTATTATTGTCATATACAGCTTGGAACTTATAATATGAGACGTATTATTTTACTGAGAAGAATAGTGTCAGTCAATGATCGAATTTCTTTACTATTAAAAACAATAATCCACTTTGTTGTCCTGCATAGAAATAAAAAAACAGATCACTTAGGGATATCTCTCACGAACCAAACTCATTTAAACCAGATCAACCCATTTCTTTGTTAGGGAAAATTAAAAAACTATCAAAATCAAATAGGTTTCTGTTAAATCCCGTGGAGAATTATGAATGATAACTTTGAGAACTATCTATGGACCAATGTGATATGCATATTTCCTATTGTATAATTGTTAAGTAACTAAACTATTCATATTCGTGTCCCTCTTATTATAAGCTTCATTTTGACCTATAGACTATTATTATACGATTTACCATTATTGAGTTATCCCTACTCTATTAATTACTGTTCCCCCTATACATAGCCACATTTGGCTAAATCTGGTACAAATATTATTTTCTATTTTATGGTACGATGTGATCAGTTTGTTTGGTATATAAACCCAGTATGTTTGTGAACAATGATTCATATTGCAGAGGCTTTTATTGGTGTCCTACATTTTAACTGTCTCGGCTAAGCAGAAAGCAGGACTGATAAGTATTCTAGACTGCTCATACGGCCTTTGTAAGTTATTGGGCGATCAATAAATTCACTGTTCTCTAAGAGGCAAGCAATCGATATAACATTTTCAACCTGTGACTTAATAAATTTCATAAAGATTAAATTAAACACATATCAAAATGAATTTACCCATGAATAGACAAATCACTTCCAACATTTTGAATTAATTCATTTGAATTTTCAGAACGTTGACCAGAAGTAAATGAAGAGAAGCTTTATTTAAAAAAAAGGTACGAAAATGTATACTCGTTACACACCATAAACAAAATATGGCCTTTAAACTTTTAGCAAAAGTATCACACTACTTAAAAGAATATAAGTAGCAAGAAAGAGTTGCTATAAAAAATATATGATACATATTCAAATAGATGTTAGATTTTTAAAAATGAAGATTTATTTCATTACGATTACTTAAAAATCCTTTTTTTCTAACTGTACAGCTACATAAAAATTTCGAAAATAAAATAATATCAAAAGTTCACAGTGAGTTAATTGACTGCCAAGTTGTGTTCACACATACACACATAGAACTAGTGATAACATTGAACTGATAAAATTTCATTTAAGTGTATACCATTAGTACGTTAACTGAATTGGAAAATACGAAAGTAAACGATTACACAACTACTCCTTAAAAAAATATACTCATAAAACTATGAATTATTACAGAAAACAAACTTCAAAACAAGGAAGTTCTAACAAGTTATCATGTAAGGAGTTTCTAGTTGTTTCATTTCATGTTATGTTAAGTCAAATAAAACCGAGGTTAACATTTCACAGAATTTGTCGGATAAAATCACTTGTCAATTATTAATATTATATCTTTGTTAGTATAAAGTATATTACATTGTGTATCAAACACAAAATCTATTAAGAGGTAACTCATATTCTAAGAACAGAAATATAAGAACCATACACACAGGTTACAATATTATTCAGTCGAATGACAAAACAATAAACATTCCCTGTCAATTTAAGAGAATCTAACCTGAGTATACAATCTGTCTATATAAAATATGGTTTCAGAAATGACAACCGGAAGCATTTAACAACTGATCAATATAATGTAGTGTAAGATTGTTTAATGACTACCGATCCCATCAGAGGTTCATCTGAAGTAAAATCTATTTATATTACTTGGGATTATCCATATTTTCAAATAAAAATAAGCATAATTCGAAGGGGAGGAAATCACCAATAAAGCAGAATAATGATATTAATAATAACAATAATAATAATAATAATAATAATAATAATAATAATAATAATAATAATAATAGTACTCTTAATTTACATTTTATGGTTAAATGGTTAGCTAAGTTTAGTCAATGAAGTGCGTATATTAGATTATTTAGTGCAAAGAGTGTAGCAAAGTCGAAAAATAAAAAAAGCAGTATTACAAAAATAAATGAGAAGATAAATAATAAAAAAACCCAGATAGATACTAGAAGTTAAAAAAAAATTATCGTCTCCAAAAAATCAATAAATCAATAAATGCAATGTTACAGATCCAAACTAGTTGTTGTCTTCAATGAAAGACGTTTTTGTAGAAGTTTTTTGTAACTAAATTTAAAAATGTTAAAGAGAAAACAAGAAAAAAAAAGATGAATGAGAAAAAAAATTTTAAAAAAAGAGAAAATAAAGAAATAAGGAAAAACACGTTTATTTTAATCGGAATATAACAGAAGACAGAAACCTTATTCAGTCTCTTCTTTTTATATGAAAAAAAGATACTGTCAGTAAGTCAGTTAAAAAATATAAGGGCAGTTATCACTTCTCGGTTGCCAATACCGTGGAAGGGTTCTTCTAGAGGTATCTGAAAACGAAATGAGATTAGAAGGGATCTTAATGACCTGAGAGCGTGACCGCAGTACCCAAGGGACAATTGCTTGAGGTCGGTCACACACGACCTTTTGGTGGATAGTTTTTGTGTTAGCTCCGTTCTTCAAAGGATCTTACCGCCAGAAACGGATATCCGTGCAATAAGGCGAGGTGTGAATTTTTAGGACCGACCTTTTCTAACCCCACACTTTCTTGTGGGAAGGCAGCATCGCTGTCATGCTGTTTGTCTGAAGGAAATACCTTACTGCTGTTACACCTCTGTACAGTCAGCAGTACAACTTCGCCTTCGGACCTTGGAATTGCTTCTATTAGTCTTATCGCTCTTCAACCGACCTGCCTGGCATGGTAGGTCCTTGAGGAAAGATTGTTCCAGCCAGTATAGCTCGATTGGTTCATCACAATAGGCGTGCCCGACCACGACGTCAAGGAAGCAGCAACGGTCGAGCAAAAAAACTATTGTACTTTTGAAGTGTTTAAAATTTGCACTAAGTGAGAATCAGTTCTGTCAGTTTTATTGTAAAATGACTATGATGTTATCCATGTATTATTCAGATATTCTGGTTAGCGCTTTTTTAGCAAGGTCTTTTTCTACGGCATCGGTTGCTGACTTCATGCCAAGCCTTCATTCTTTTACCCGGATTTAAGATAAGAAATAACCCTATTAAAGTTACAGGCGGGAAAGAGGAAGACCAAAGAACATACTACACCGGGAATTGCAAGCAGATATCAAAAGAATGAATAGCTCGTGGAAAGGAATATTCAGGACAGAGTTCGATAGAGACTGTTGGTGGGCAGCCTATGCTACTTCATGAGGGGTAACTGTTATAAGTAAGAATCTTTAACTAAACTTTCAGTATATAACACAAACATGTTGTTGAAAATTTGGCTCCAAACTTATTTGAACATAAGAAGTATCTCTATAATTGATACATGGATGACACATAGTCATATGTGACAAAACTAAAGAGGCAAACTGTCTTCTAAAAAGACGATAACATATATTTAAAGTATATTAAATTTTAATATGAAGAAGAGAGGAATAACTAATAAATGAATTACAGTTGTTTTCACTGCTAAACATTTAGTTGAGATAGTTTTTATCTTCCTGATTATATTCTAAAACGGGAACTCCTTCAATTACCATAACGCCAAGTGAAAACACAAAAGACTGGTGCAATGAAAACTTATTGACTTTCCAAGAACACATCCCCAAATAACTGAAAGCGAAACTTGTTTATCCAAAGAATTCTTAGAATACAACTGACCTCACTTCGTCAGCAAAATACTAACATTAACTCCTCATCCTACTACCTAACACTAGTACCGAAACCTATCTTCAACTCGATAGGTGGTTGGGATTTAGCAAGATCATTAAAGAATCACCTTCCTACAAATTTGTCTAAATAAAGTTATTCTTCGAAGCTATCACGACTTTAAAACTTCAAAGAATGGATAGTCGATGAAATCTCTATCAGAGATTGTCAATTTTATCTCATCCTTTTAGTGTCAGTAATGACAACCTGACCTTATGTACATTTATGCCAGACGGTGTCCATTACCACGAACTGATTGAATATTAGACGAATTCCTTTGAAATATATATTAATAAATATCAAATAACTGACAGGAAAGCAATTCAATCATTCCTTTCCATCCCTTTTGATATTATAAGATCAATTGTTTTCTAACTATTCGAAGAAAAAGGAAGAATTACAATGACATCACAATAACAATTGAACTTGACAAACAATTAATGCAAAAGAAAAAAACAAAAATGGAAAGTGCAAGGTTGTGGAGATTGTTGAGTTTTAACTGAGATAACGAACTGGTCAATGTTAAACCATGATTGGAAACCTGGAAACATTGGATGGCCATTTTTTCCCAGTACAGGACTCCTCAGCAGAGCGCATTCACAACCTCACAAGCGAGACTCGAACCCACGTGAACGCTTAATCTGTAGACTACTGAGCCAGCCGGCATTTAAAGATGTTATTATCTAACTTCAACCAATCCACGGTGTTGTGCGATCATCTTCTAATGTCTTCGATGAGAAATTGACTCATACACGATACGGATCAACTCCACTAGTCACGGCTTCTCACTTGAAGTTTGAGAATTACCTCTCAAAGCTAGTCACTAGTGAGCACATGATAATTATTAGTATAGGGTTTTGAATGGTGGTTTAACACTGATCGGTTCATGATCTCAATTAAAAATAGAAAGACTGTTTTTAGACCGTTGACTATTGACGTTAGTATGATAAATGAAGACAACTATGAAAATACTAAATCTTCACAAAAACCCCTTCTGATAATAATAATCATATGCTCACTAGTAACTGACTTCGAGAGGTAAATCCAGGAGTTATAGTGAGAAGCAATGACCAGTGGAGTTCAAACCAGGTATGCTGTGAGATATCAACTAACTGAAGACAATTGGTGAACGGTTGCTCAACTTCGTGGATCAGTTGAAGTTAGACATTAACACCGTCGAACGACGGCCAGCTCAGTGGTCTAAAGGTTAAGTGCTCTGGCGCGAAGCTGGTAGGTCCTGGGTTCGAATCTTGTGGGTGCGGGATCGTGGATGTTCACTGCTGAGGAGTCCCATAATGAGACGAAACAGCCGTCCAGTGTTCCCACGTTTTCCATGGTGGTGTAGCTTCAACTAACTCACGCTTTCAACTATGAGAAGAAAAATTTGTTGAAGAATAAAAATATCAATCAAACACATATCTGTAAAGTTCAATGCTTTCTGTCATTTTGTCCAAGATTCAACACTACATCGATATGAGGTTATAAATTCAAAATAAAAATATCATTTAAATAGTACAGTTTTATGTAACTGATTCATGAAACTTGAAATAGAAAGGAAATTCATCATTTCTTTAAATTAATAACTTACAACTTTTGTAAACTTTGTAATGGACCACTAACTGGACTATTTAAATCAATTTTATATTGTTGTGTTGGCGGTGTTTTAGTCATAAATAATTCACGATGTCCTTTTTGACTAACACGTAAAGTTTCTGTAAAACGTACAGCATCTTGTAATTCTAATAAACGTTCTTTATAATGATTACGTTCAGCTAGAATACGTGCCATTTCAGATCGTGTAAAACGTTTAACTTGTGCAGAATTAGTTGACTCCTATGATAAATTGAAGTAATGACATATTATAATAAAAAGGCTTTATTTTTCTGTTCGATTACAGAAAATGCAATAATACATACGAACAATAAATCTGTGTTATTTCCAGTTTTCTTTTAAACTTATCTCGATTAATGTTGCTATGTTCAAAGGATTAAGATATCACCTAGGACCAGTGAACATACAAGAACATACAAGAAAGAAAAACGAACTGATGACATTTGAAGTCCTTCTAGGTGGTAAAAAAAGGGCTTTTGGAGCAGAATTGTGATACTCAAATTTCCGTAATTAACCTGCAAAAATGAGTTTACCAAGTGATTTTTAAAGATCTAGCATCCCTAACAAATGTACATACACTTGGCATTGTAAATCGAATACATAAGGAGGAATTCAATTTCTTTTAAGCAAGTAGATACATCTTGACAGATTTTTCTCATCTAACTTCTTTCTAGTCCAGGCCTATTCCTAAAAATGAGCATCATAAATTGTAAATCTACTGAAGCGATATTATACGAATGATTCCAAACGAGTTGGCTACTGTTTAAAGGTACGATGTACATGAAGACAGGTCAAAAAATTAGATTTATTAGCCCAAAAAGGTAAATGTTTCTCGACGCAGTAAAAGAACAGAAGAATGATCCCAGTGATTCGTTTTGACAACGGCAAAATAAAAAAATAACCAATTATTTCATGATTAGAAAGGCTTTAAATTATTCCGTTTTTGATAATCTTGACTAAATTTTGATCAATATTTGATAGCACATATGCATTATAAGCTAATTGTCTAGATGTAGCCAATTAGCCACAAGTTTTACACTGAATAGATTAATTTATGGCTAGCAGCGACATCTATGAAGCGCATTTCATTCTATTCAGGACTCCATAAATGGATGTACCTATAACCCAGTGTTGATCTGTATAATGGGACGCAGACGTATCCAGATGACTAGTATCAAATAGAGAGAAATATGCGTCTTAAATTACACTGGTAGCCACAAATCTATCTATTCCGTTAAGAAAAACGATTGACAAGCAAAAAAAAGCTTAACATCAGTAGGTACACAGAACCTTAAGACCAACGTTCAAATTACAACCAGTTATTCAAACTACAGTCGGTGAAAAACAGGATCCGAACATCTACAGCCCCAATCGAATAGAGTGATTAAAAGTAGTATGAAATTTATTTATTTATTTAAACACATAAATATTGGTACAGAGAGGCACCAGATACATATGCGACACACAAATCTCATTCGATTTGTGTGAGGCCTGTGATACTGCACAGATGCCCAAACTGAAACATGTGGTTTTCTTAGGGAGTCACACCCGGATCCTTTGACCTAAAGGTCTGGTCCACAAGGCAGTGGATCATTGTGAGGAGATGCAGTCTCATGGTAGCGGGTCACCAACGATTGATTCATACGCCATTTCTTCCCTCAGGATACTGGATCCCATGTACACCATTGGTTTGGAATTGTGGTTTACCAACTCCCCTATGTGGACCCTCCATGTTCACCAACCCGATTAAAAGGCCGGATATTTACTTTTTGTCCTCTCAATTTCGTTAACAACACTGGTGCCACGAGAGTGCAGTGAGCAGGATGTCTGTGGCAGAGGCTTTATACGAGTGGCCATGTGAGAGCATTTGGAGGGGGGAAAGCAGACTTTCTCCACTGTCGACCGCACCAGGGAATTCGGGGGCGGTGAAATACGCTTAATTCGCTTGATCTTTCATTTGGTGCCGCTTAACTTTCGACCACCAAATCCCAATTTCAAACCCCACCTCACCTATTTTGGTTTAGGCAACCATACATTAAGTATCACTAGCTTTTATACCTAGGTTATAGCTAATATCCAAGTACCTAGTGAATTTATTTATTATTTATTTAAACACATAAATATTGGTACAAAGAAGCACCAGATACATATGCGCCATACAAAACTCATTTGATTTGTTTGAGGGCTGTGATACTGCACAGGTGCCCTAACTGAAGCAGGTGGTTTTCTTAGGGGCCCACACCCAGAGCCTTTGACTGAAAGGTCTGATTCACAAGGCAGTGGAGCATCATGGAGATGCAGTCCAGTGGTAGCCGTTGATCAACGATTGATTAATACACCATTTTTTCCCTCAGGATACTGGAGCACATGTGCACCATTGGTTTGGAATGAGGGTTTTCCAACTCCACTAGGTGGACACTCCACATCCACCAACCCGGTTAAAGCGCCGGACATTCGCTTTTCATTCTCTCAATTTCGTAAACAACACCCTTTAGTGAATAAGTTAGTTGAATTACCTTTTTTTTACATAAAATTAAGAAAAAAAAACGAAACAAAATAAATAAATTAAAAAAAACTTACTATATTTGTTTTATCTTGATAAAATGAAAGTTTTTCATTTAATTGATTAATTTCTGTACGTGCCTCATTTAACATTTGATCAATATTAGTTAATTCACTTTGTAAACGAACTCGTGAATCAGTTAACATATTCACTGATTCACGTAATGATATATTTTCACTATTATAAATCAATATTTAATAAATAATTATTACCATAGCAACTAATTAATTAATTTATTATTATTATTATTATTATAAATCAATATTGAATAATAAATTACAAAATTAATTGAACTCATCAAATAATTTACTATAAAATAGAAGATTACCATATATAGATTTCATCATCACAAATATAAATTATTAATATAAATAAGTAATATATATTGGTAATATCCCAATAGGTAGGAAAATTAAATTTTCTGACGTTTCGTCACTCAGTGTAAGCCACATCTTCAGAGTTAATAAATAACCAAATTAACATTAATCCAAGTTTAAATAGTACAACGGGACAACACATGAATATTAGATGCTATCCAACAAAAAACAGGTCTGAATAAATCAATGTCATGTCATTTCATTTCGGTCAAGATGATTCATAAGCGACATGTGCCCATGGATTAATGTTAATTTGGTTATTTATTTACTCTGAAGAAGTGGCTTACACTAAGTCACGAAACGTCAGAAAATCTAATTTTTCTACTCACTGAGATATTACGAATATATATTATTTATTTATTTATAACAATCTACCCAATGCTCAATTTATTCAAAATTATCAAATCAAATTAGGGGATAAATGATGTGGAGGAATTAATAATTGACTATATATTGTTTGAAAAGCATTGACAGTACTTGATGCAACAGTCAAATGAATAAACCTGAAGTTAAGCGTAGGGTAGTTTTACGTTAGAAGATAATGAGTCTGTTAATATATACTAACTGAATTGAATGTATTAAGTATATATACAACCACCGCATACATCGATATATAGAGTGATCATTGATATAAAAGTAGGTTGAAAGAGATGTGCATGCTCTTAAAGTAGGAATCGGTACTAGCCCATGAAAACATTGACTTTTGAACGAGTCAGATTGATTTTAATTAAACAACTACTGAAAACCAAGTCATTGGTTTAATCATTGAGATTATAAAAGCGTATTTCTGAAGAGTTCCATGCTAAAGCAAAGTAGCTGTCTGGTATTTTCATGAGGGGACAAATTGAATATTAACCTGTTATTGGCCATCGTGTACCATGGGACTGCATCTCCTAATATTGCTTCACTGCCTTGTGGATTAAACCTTTAGGTCAAAAATTCGGGGATTGCCAAAACAGAACAATCTCATAATATGCATTACACTACTAATCCACTATAAGCCATTCATTCTTAAAATAATGTGCATCGTTGTGATGGCTTGAGACACGCAGACATATCACATCGAGAACAAATGATAAGTGAAATATGTTGACAGCTGCACACTCAACTGGTTAACATTCAATTTAGTTTCCCAAGGGAAATAAACATACGGTATTGGTTGATAAGCTGGCTTAAATTTACCAAGAACGCATAACTATATATTAAGTAATGAAATTATGCACATATTTAGACTCGGTTAGCCAATACAGTTTCGTTTTCCCATTCAATTAGCTTATTGGGCTACATTATAGGAAGTGTGTATAACAGAATTGAAATGCGACATCCGCCAAACACATTTTCTGGCAACAGCTTAACTCAACACACTTTTATGTTGAGTAGTGTGAACATAGAATAAACAGAATTCGTTTAACTTGAACAGATTAAAGAGACAAACATACAAACAGATATTATTAAAGGTTCTTTTACATCTAAAAAGGGATTAGCATCGGTCATCGATTTCAAATGTCACTTTTCTAGTGAGCTAATAGAGTTTCATACATCAGAGCAAAGAACATGACCAGTAGAAAATGCTTTACGACAGTTACTCAGTTAACAAAACAAAACAACAGTTATAACAAAGATAATAAAACAATAGTCACAAATACTTTGTAGATTAAAAATAAGATCGAAAACAACCGTTAAACTTACGATGTCAAATGGTCAATTCTGGCGAGTAGGTCGTCTTTTACAACATTGAGAGCATTTCTTCACACACACAAACGTATACGTAGAACATATGTGAGTGCGAGCATCATAGAAAGTTTAATATGATAAAAACAAAAAGACAAAAGACGAAGAATATGAAATGTTATCTCTGAAAAAGTTACTTATCAGTTTATAATTCTTATTGTATTTAACTGGTAATCTTGAGAATATGATTTCTATTTCAAGGTAAGTTAGGAGAGGCTACAAAACTGATCGATCAATGGATTCGTTCGTATTAGGGAATGATGGTAAATCAGTTGATGAGGTCATGAATCTTCATCGACTGAGATGGTTGGGCCACGTGTTACGTATGCCTGAACATCGATTACCACGACGCACAATGTTGAATAGTGTAGGGGATGGTTGAAAGAGAGTTAGGGGAGGCCAAACCAAAACGTGACATCAGTGCTTGAAGTCACTAACTTCTAGTCTGAGCCATGTTGGTAGATGCAGACTACCTGGTTGGGGTCCGCGTGACTATCGTAACCAATGGTTGGAGACTGTGGGTGACATGGCTTAGAATCGACCACAATGGCGTAGGTGTATACACTATCCGTCTTCCCTTAAACTATGAGATTAAAATTGCTTCATATTTCTCTTTCTCCTATACTATATCCTTATATACACCCTATCTTTTATATACTACCACCACTAAATTAACTATTTCTATGAATTCGGTGTTCATCTTGTTGTGCTAAAGAGGTATGGCAACTTGGACCGATGCATAAATATGCCTGGTCCTACGTTGTAGCCGACTGACTGACTCGTCCACATTCGATGTATTTGTGCACACTCATACAAATCAAATTTATTTCATGAAGAGTGAAAAAGGAATACGAATGTATGTTGGAGTACACTGATCATCGAACCGATCATCTAACTTTCAGTCAATGATTGCAAAACATTTGATATTAAAGATGTTTGATATTTAAACGAAAATAGATTTAAGAGATTTGTTTGTCATTATAAGCCATCTTGACATATTCAACACACCTTTAACCACAAACCTGGTACTTGCTTTTATGATTTACATTTTCCACAGAATGACCTGATCTTCCAGTCTAACCATAATAAGACTTTTAAATTTCCCTTTTTATTTAGACTACATAGGTTTTCGATATATACACCTCCATATTCACTCTAACAGTGAACGACTTTGTGTTATATATCATTAAGGTGACAAACAAAATTATAAGAACTATCTGGACACACTAAGACATAAGAACCAATTGAAATTAATCACAAAATGTTACATCTTCAAATTCTGATACTGACTGCATTTAGTTAGACAATCATAGAAAATCAGTAAAAATGATAATCAATCAATAATTCCAACAATATGCCATGTGAAAAAATTATTATGTTCTTACTGGTGACTAACTTCGAGGTGTAATCCTTGAAGCCTTGGTCAGCAGCTTTCATCCATGTAAGTTCAACCATGTCAGACATGAGATAAATATAAATAATGACAATGGATGATGGATTACATACTAGAAGCGAAATTTAAGTATATCAACTCGGTAATCTAATGATTGAGCGGTCATCTCGAGCACTGAAAGTCTTGGGTTCCATCCCAGTAGGAAGATTCATGAATGTACACATCTATAGAGTCACATACAATCTAGTGCCTCCCGAATTTTACTGATAGTCCGGATTAAGTCAGTTGGTGATATAAAATTACAAACAATAAAATTGGTGAACAAAGACTAAAAAAAGTACTAAAAATCAGAGTGAGTGTAGAATTATCACGACAACTACCAGAAATAATAAATCATTGATTAATTCGACAAAAATAATTTAAATAATAGTGTGGTGCATGCTACTTAAGTCTGTCAACAAAAGTAGTATGTAACACTGCTCAGAAGTACAAACTCTGGCAGCTGAAGGCTAAGAACATCAAATTCAAAAGAACAGAAAAGAATTGCGAATAAGAAGAATCATACAAAATGTGAAGGAAAAATGATGGAAATTTACAAATGAAGTATTCCATATAAGGTACTCTGTAATTTTGTACTAAAATACATTGATTGTCCTAACCTGCGTTCTCATTTAAAACAATAGTAGAAGAATTAACTTACTTCATTTCAACAAGTTCCATATTCTCTTTGATTAACACATCAATCTCTTTACGCATACCAGCTAAATGAATGAATAAGAAAGAGTAATATATATTTTTAAACTAAATCTATGATTGATCAACAGATAACTAAATCAACAATAAAAACAAATCAACCACATTATAAATGAAACACGAATAGCTATTCAGCAGTGAATGAAAATTTCTTTTCAACAATATCATCTTTCATGTAGCTGCACAAATGTATTTAAGATTCGTGGTAATAGTAGGTTGTATGTGTCATATATAATGTCAAGACAGTTCTACTGTAAAGAGCGGAGACGTGGAAAACTACGAAAGCCATTATCCAGAAGATACGAGTGTTTATCAACAGCTGTCTACGCAAGATACTTCGTATTCGTTGGTCAGACATTATCAGCAACAAGCTACTGTGGGAGACAACAAACCAGATTCCAGTGGAGGAAGAAATCAGGAAGAAGCGCTGGAAATGGATTGGGAACACTTTGAGGAAATCACCCAATTGTGTTACAAGACAAGCCCTCACATAGAATCCTGAAGGTCAAAGGAGAAGAGAAAGACCAAAGAACACATTACGCCAAGAAATAGAGACAGATATGAGAAGAATGAACAAAAAATGGATAGAACTAGAAAAGAAGGCCCAGGACAGAGTGGGTTAGAGAAACCTGGTCGGCGGACTATGCTCCATTGAGAGTAACAGGAGTAAGTAAGTAAGTAATCTGTCATAGATGAATCTTAGTTAATGTGTCATTTAAAAACGTAGCACCAGACAATTATCTCATCTTAATATGGAACCCTTAGATGTTGGATGTCAATGACTTCACCAGGAATCAAACTCAAGACTTTCGGATCTCACAGAGAACAGTTCGACACTTAGACTTACTAAGTTGATATCCGACGGCTTACATTTTAAACTCTAATCAATTTATAGTAAAGACAGAATTAGATCATAAATTGCACGGAGATACTTCATATTGACCGATGATTATGCAACGATTTTTAAAGGTTAGTATAAAAGCATTGAAAAGATGGAAATAATTTTGTAGATCAGAGAGGGAAAAAGAAGGATAACTATCCATATTTGATGAATATGCAGAGGGTGGAGAAGAAGGAAAGAACAATTAAACGTAACAATAACAACAGTTTATTATTATTATTATTGTTATTATTATTACCAACAATGGAAGAGGAAGGAAAACAATAGAAACAATATAATATGAACTGGACAGAAAAAAAACAAGAGGGTTAAGACAGCTATTCATTAATCTAATATGTACATAAAATTGGACTACGATAAAAAATAATTCATGAAATACATAATCTACTACTATTGTGGTATGCTACTGATGTCGACAAATATAAGTAGTATGTATCATTAATCAAAGATGAAGTGTATGGTGGTAGAAGGTTAAGAAGATCGAAGAGAAGAGAACAGAAAGTGATTGACGTAGAAAGGAAGGGATAGACGATTTTAAGACAACGGATTGGCATTTTGAAAATGAATCATTTACTGTATGGGTCTCAGATTTTATTAAGAGATTCTGTAATTTTGTGCTCAAATTACGTTTGGATGTTCCTACCGGTGTTCTTGTTCACTACGCTATTATTATGTTTATAACTGAAACACTAAAAAATTGGTTAAAAAATGGAAATGTAGAGACTTTTAGTGAAGTTTGATGATGACTAGCATTGTGTCCCAGTAGATGCATTTATCCCTCCTTAAAACTAGTCTGCTGGTGTTGATATTTACATTGAACCTTGGGTCAAGTAGCTTTTACTTCGAATGTTCAACACATTATATTTTGAGCTACTGAGTTCAGGAAGTCACTAGATCGTGAAACGAATATGAATCTGACGAATCTTAAATGGGACAAAACTCACGTTATTGGATTCCACTAAGAGTTGCTATCTAACAACTTATGCATAAATGGTAATATCAAGTTAATCCGCTTAAGGTGTACATAGGATAGTAGGAAACCAATAATCTTTAGTTCTTCACGTCAAAAACGGGAAAATTCAAACGCTTACTAAAACGAACTATAATGTTCATTCTTTTTCCCTATCTTTAACTCTCTTTGTTACTTTTATCTCGTTATCTATAGATTGTAATGTATCAAGTTAGATCAAAGTACATCCATACCATATTTTACATTGATTCAAATGATTAAATTACGTAACGAAGAAAAGGTATATGATTGCTATTTTACGTTATAATTTTGTTAACAGAAAGTATGAATCGTGATACAATAGACATCAGAGAACTGAGATACACGAATGAACCAATAATATTGTGTAATGATAAAGGATAGAATAGTATTAAAATCAATAAGTGAACAAGGATAGTATATAATAAGAGATATAGTTTAGATAAAAAATATATCCAAGAAAGACTTCTTTTTATTAAACGAATTTATCTCACTAGTATGACTTCTATTCCGAGTTATATCCCAAAGTACAGAAAAGCCCTATCTCTAGAACTCCAACCTGCTCGATGAATCATTAAGAACTAGTATAAATTTTTAACTATTTTCACTACACAATCACTTGTCGCTACTTCAGTTATCGGCTTGGAAATTTAGGTTAACCAAACGTACCGATAAATGTGAGAGTCATTGAAAAATCCGTAAAACATAATCAAGTTACCGAATTCAATATTCCATGATGATTACATACCAATCGAATTATCGACACTATAATTTAACATACGTCATTATTAGACACAGACACATCAATCAATAAATAGAGAGATAAATAAATAGAGAACACATTATGCAATATTATTTCGTTGAATTATTTTTTTACCACTTTCGAACAATGAAAAACTCAACAAACGCCCCCAAATGCCCTGGTACGGCTGAGAGTGGAGAGGGAACGCCCTTGCTCTCGAAATGCTCTCACATGACCACGCGTATATAGCCTCTGTCAGGGAAGTCATACTCACTGCATTCTCACACCATTACTGTTCTTTACGAGAGTGAAAGGACGAAAACCGAATGTTCTGCGCTTTAACCGGGTTGGTGAACACAGAAAGTAAACCTAGGGGAGTTGAAAAATCCTCATTCCAAACCAATGGTGAACATGGGCTACAGTAGCCTGATGGAACAAATGGAGTATGAATCAATCGTAGATCACTGACTACCATGAGACTGCATCTCCTTACGATGCTCCACTGCCTTGTGGATTGGACCTTTAGGTCAAAGGCTCCAGGTGTGGCCCCCTAATAAAACTACCTGCTTCAGTTAGGGCACCCGCGCAGTATCACCGCCCTCAAACAAATCAAATGAGATTTGTGTGGCGCATATATGTCTGGTGCCCCTTCGTACCGAAATCGCATTGTATACAACTAGAAATAAAATAACGTGAATGATCATTTTCAACATTATATACTTAAAATCAATTAATATCGAAATTAAATCGATCGGAAAAAACAAACAAACAGATCAGTCAATTTTGTGTATTTCCTCTTTTTCTCACTCTCTCTCCTTCTATAGTCCTCAAATAGATCAACTGATATCAAAAAAGAGAAATGTGACGATGGCAACAACAACAAACCAATCAGAATCTTATGGGTCAAAATTGTCTAGAAGTATTTTTGTTTCTCTATTTAGTCTCTATACCATGAAACAGATTGAATGTAAATGAATTTTGAAAAATGCAAATTTAATTTTCTACAAACAAAAAAGCCGAACGATATTAAACAAAATCCGTGGGAAGGGGTACGCAGAATTTATGTTTGTATACAAATTAGTATGAATGAATTTACCATAAACTAAGAACTCTCAACAATCAGTCAAGAACATAGAACCTAGTAAGCTATGTGAACATCAGTTCAAGTTGTTATAGATTATATCCAGTCAGACATCTACAGCGTAGGATCAGGCACATATATTCATCGGTCCAAGTTGCTATACCTCATTAGCACAACATGATAAACAACAAATTCATAGAAGTAGTTACTTCAATGGTTGTAATATACATAAAAACAGATTGCATATAAGGATATGATGATAAAGGGAGAAAGAATTAGTTAGTAGAAAGAAAGGTATAAATCAGTTTTAGTCTCGCAGTTTAATGGAAGACAGTGTTTACACCTACGTCATTGTGATCGATTCTGAGCTATGTCAACCAGAGTCTCCAACCAATGGTTACGATAGTCGTGCGGACCCCAACCAAATAGTCTGCATCTGTCGACGTGGCTCAGACCAGAGGTTAGAGGCTTTATGGATTCATGCCACTTTTTGGTTTGACCACCCCTAATTTTCTTCCATCCATCTCCAACACTAGTCAGCATTGCGTGCCGCGGTAACCGGTGGTCGGGCATGTGTAATACGTGGCATTCATCATACAATGAATTCTAATGTAATCGTATAGTGCTTTTGCAAAGAAAATATGTCAAGATCTGTGGTATTTCCATTTAAATTCTTCAGTATTTAGTATCACAATAAGTTATTTCTTACAAAAGGCATATAAATGCATGAGATGGTGATCAATATATGTAAGGTGGTAGATGGAAGTAATCAACAAGTTTCGTGCTATCTGGCACTCGTCAACAAGGTGTAGTTGTAATCTTGAGGGGGCTAATACTCGCTGAAGGATCTCATCACAGCTGAGAAGGACTCGACGTACAGGGCATCAGTCATTACTAAGTGATCAATTATTCGTAAAGTCAAATTATTTATTAAGTATTAGCCTTGATAACGTGATATGCAATAAACATTCGTACTAAGTCCTACGCTGATGATGGTAATGATAATGTTTAACTATCTGACAGACTTATGTAAAATAGATTATACACTGATTTGTCGAATCTTCAAGATAAATACACTTTAGTTAATTACTGAACAAGATTCATTATCCTAACTGCTTCATATAATATATTTTCAGATTTTATCGATACAAATATTATCAGAAGGGGTTTTTGTGGAGATTTAATATTTTCACAGTTGAAAGCGGGAGTCAATTGAAGCTAGACCACTATGGAAAACCTGGAAGCACTGGATGGTCAATTCGTCCAATTGTGAAACTCAGCAGTGCGCATCCACGA